CAGAACTTCAGTGGAGCCACCTCCATGGGTACAGCATCTAAATCAAATGACCAAATAAACCACAGCCATTCTGAATGCACTGACCATTCAGATTCGAGGACTGTAACTAACTGCTGTAATAAAAGAAAATTAACAAGCACACATTTGCTGTACAAAAACACAAAGCATTAAAGTTCAGTATTGTGAAGCCTGGTTGTGACAAACCTGTATGAGATATGAGCTCAGGCTCACTCAGTTCAGTACCACTGATGTACTGGCTGAGCTCATAGCTGCTCGAGGACAGACCTGAAGCTTTAGAGTTGGCAAGAGCTCCACTATCATACACCTAGAGAAGGAAAAACAAAACAGCCTGAGAGATAATCAAAAAGAGCTGGAATATATACACTACTTGTGCAAAAGATTAGGGGGATAATAAATAATGTGTCCTTGCTGAATAAAAGTATTAGTTTCTTTTACCAAAAATCTTACTGACCACAAAACTTTGAACAATAATGTATATATTAAAGTTGACTTATGAACAAGAATGGCAAGTTTACAATAAAGTCTCTTTATACAACAAACCTCTCCAGTTCCATCTCCATTTTCCATACTTTCTCTGTGCTGTCTCTCTGAGACACCATGGTCATAATGACTGTCTGTTCTATGGCTATAGCTGTTAAATAAATGTGTAAGGTCACTTGATATGAAATGTACAAAATGATTTGATTGTTCTGAAAACACATTTCAGGCATGACAGAGCATATCATGTATGAGTGTATGCCATTAACAGACCCCTGCTGATCAAAGTATGAAGCTCTTGCTGACTCCTGCTGCAGTCCTCTGCCCTGATACCCCTCTGTCCTCCAGCCACCACCATCTACAAAACACCAATGGGCTTAAAGTGAGTTTGAATTTTGATGAGAATTAAAAACTGTGGGCACGTGATTGAATATTATGTACCTGGGGAGCTGTATTGTGATCTGTGATAACCATGATAATCATAATAGCCGTAGTCGTCTCTGTAGGGCCAGTAGCTGGACGCGGGGTAGTCATATTCCTGCCTGAACAGATATTAGTAGTTAGACCTGGGCTTTTAGACTGTGCTCATTCATTGACAAATACTTACAAACAAGGTGCCCGTATATTCCAGTATATTAATATTAAATACTGTTCAAAAGTTTGCAGTCTCTTAAGTCACATAAGTCTCTTAAAGCTAACCAAGGCTGCATTTATTTGATCATAAATACAGCAAAAAGTAATATCGTGAAATATTAAAGTTTAAAATAACGCTTTGAATTTTAGTTTATTTTATTTATTTCTATTTTAATTTAACATTGAAAATAGTTGGAAAATAATGATGCTTAATTTGTTGAAACTGTAATTCGTTTTAGGATTCTCTGATGAATAGAAAGTTCAAAACAACAGCATTAATTTAAAAAAAAAATGTTGTATCAATGTAAAAGTTTGTATTGTCACTTTTGATCAATTTAATGCATCCTTGCTAATAAAATAACAGTTCATTTCTTGGAAAATCTTACTGACCTTAAACTTGTGAAGGGTAGCGTATATTCAAAATAATACTAAAAAGGTATCAGTATTTTTTTCTTTATTTTGGGTTGGGTAAAAATGTAAAAAAAAACTTTATCTCACAATTACCTTAGTATTATTTTTATTCTGTAAGATGACCTTAAAATCAAACTAAGTATACTGATGTTTATGCCAATAACAAAGTGTATTGCAATTTATGCCAATAGGAATTCAGATATGTTCTCATAAAAAAAGTTGAAATATTTTATGCTATTTTGCTTCTCAAGTAGATTTATTTTGGATACATTTTAAAGGTTCAAGGACATTTGCATGTTTACAGGAAAACAAGTAATAAAATACTGATTAAGAAAACAATTCTTACTGATTTACCTGGAGTGAGGTCTGAAGTGTAATGGTTGGTTTGATGCATAAGCACTACTATATCCAGGAATATACTCTGGTTTAGGAGGAGGACTGGCCATGTAGCTTCCATAGTGAGGATCCACATGGGGCCGCTGTCTTTCTCTCCCTCTCGGGTCTGTAGGTGGGTAGTAATACGGTGTTTGGTGGGAGGATCTGTAGTGGTCGTCTCTGTTACTAGACTGGTACTGATAGCCTGGCGTATGCCAGCCTTGCCCTCTGGGCTCCATCACGAGACACAGCGCCGGATAAACTTAAAGCAAACTGCACTTACACAGACAAAAGTCAGGAGTTAGACAAACAGGGGAGGATTTTGCCTGCTGTAAGTCAAATGTTATCAGTGAGCATAGATACAGCGGCCGTTTTTATCAAGAGAGCAGTAAATCAAAAACAACCTTTGTTTTCAGTCTGTCAGTATTTTGTGGTCACTTTTGATATACCTAAAGACTTATTAGGAGGAGGACGAAATGTGCTATGTATTTAAGGGAAAAAATAGTGGTAATAGTTAGGTTTAAGAGTGGTTAGGGTCAATGTGTAATTATAGAAATTAAATATTTTTTAAATCCAAGTACAATGATAAAAACTACACAATTAGTGCTTTATCAAATGCTTAATTGAAATCTCAGTAGATAGTGGTTAATTTAAAGTGGGTCCTAAAAATGTGGTGTGACTGATGCACACAAAATATACATAGAAAGGAAACTTACTGTAAGTTTAACGTTTTTTTTTAATATAGTAATTAAACATGATTGACAATAGCATTAAAGAAACATTTCAAATAACTCACAGGTGTCTATTTGAGATGTTTTCCATATGGCTGTTGACTGTGCTGTGTCCTGTCATAGTTTCAAAGTGCACATGCCACATCATTTCAGAGCTGAACCATGAACCTGCTTTACTGAAGTCTCAAAGTCTCAAAGTCTCTCCATAGGTTTCTTTGCCTTTCTACCTCTAAAAGGGAATGCAGAACTCAAGGAAGTCAACATACACATTATATTTGATGAACCTCTTCATAGCTGTTCTAAACAGCTGTTGTCAGCCCTATGCAACAGCTGGACATCGGCTTTTTATCATTTTTTACTTTAAATACATAACTGCCATACATTTGTGTAAAAAAACAAACACTAATATGCGTTTAAACATAAAAAATAAGTTATATTACACGTAAATAACGGTAAATGTGAAATAAATCAAAGCAGGACTTACAGTGTGTTTGCATACAGAGGTCTGACAGGCGCCCTGGGCTTTCTGAACTCACTCCCATATTTGGAATATTCAAAGTTGCCACGTCGAGCGGAATCATCGCGCAGAGACGCTGGAGCTGCTCGGACACACTTCGGAGGAACACACCATTTACTCATGGATGGGAGGGATGGGCGATACCACTTATTTTGTTTTCGATACGATACCGATATTTTTCAAGGCAGTATCGTCGATATCGATACCGATTCGATACTTGTGAACTAAACTTTTAAATTATGAAATTTATGAAATTATTAAATTACTAAGAGTAAACTGGGTAATGATAAGCACTTAACTTTCTTTAAAACACATTTTAACATTCAATACGTCTTAATTGTAACTTATTAGGTTATATTTTTGTTTACACGTGATTCAAATCTACAAATACTACAGTTGAACTATGGTCACTTTAGTAAAACCATGGTTCATTATCATAAGGGGCTGCCAGTGACAGGCTGTTGCATCCATAAAATGCAACCTTTTTATTCTGACAGTGTATGATTTCTATTATCATTACAGAATAGAACACGATCAATATTATCTTTCAACGTTCAATTTAAATAACTGTAATTGCACAAACCATATTATATAATGATGATATATTATAATAACTCTGTCCTTCTGTCCTCTGATAAGCATTGTTCAGGGCTGCTGTTCCCAAAAGCTTTAATGCTTTCTTATGATACTTGTGGGAAACGCAGCCCTGTTTGAATGCACTGTCAGCAGTGAGTGAACGCTCTCTGTGATTGATTAGTTCTGTCTTGCAATATTTGCGTGTTCAGATGAGCAGGAAAATAGTTCTATCCTACACAATTACTCGCTAACAAAGGTTATTCGTCCAATTCAATGCATGTACGCATTATAATTAGTTTTTTTTGTTGAATTAACAAAATCACTAGTAAATAAAAACACACCTCAGTATCGATATTTTTTTTGAGTATGTTTGAGTATCGATACTTTATACGTCAGTATCGATATATCGATACTTTGGATCGATACGCCCATCCCTAATGGATGGGAGGAGGTCGCTGCCATGTTATGAAAGGAACTGTGCAAAATTGTGCAGTTATGCATTCAGATTTTTAAAGGAAAAAAATGAATGGTGACCTTTTCAAGCACTTGCTATTCTTTAGACATCTAATTTAGACAAAAAAAGTGTGCCATTAATTTTGTAGACTATAATGCACATTACTGATCAGGCTTTGATCATTAATATCAGTCAACAAAATTACAGTCAGTGCAAAGTCTCTCAGTATTGTATGGTATTCTGTTGTCATATGTTAATGCGTTCACCCCATTCTTCACGGTTCTCTATATTTGTGAAATTATTGTAAAATAATACCCATGCATTAACTATATATCAATTATTTATAGTCAAGAGTTAAAGGTTATGCTACATAATCTAGTTTAGCACGTAATACTGCGATCCATTGGCTAATGCTTTGAATTTTACTAATGTAGTAACTAGCATGTATTTTTTTAACTAGTTATGTACTTTAAAACTACGCAAAAATTCTATATTTATATTCTAACATTTTGAAAACGTTATTCTGCTGTACGTGGTTTACTCTGTGAGGTTTTTCAATAAAGACTTCACTAATCCGCCACCAGATGTCACTTTAATCCCGTTGTTCAGAAAGATTAGTGTTGGCTTGAAGCAACATTTCTTTTGTTATATTCTGTGCAGTATATACTCACGTGGTTGCCTACAAATTACGGTGCATGCACAATATTTAAAAAAATATATAAAGATATTTTAAAAGTAACTGCTCTTATGAGTTTGAGTCGTCGCTCTGCTTGTTCTCGTATGCGTCTCCACGTGAGCTGACCAATCAGCGACCGTATGTAAATGAGGCTGGAGCGAGTACTCTACTGTGTCCCCTGACACTAGCGTTATTTTATCCCTCCACTCAGCGCGAGCGGCATATCCGTGCTCCTGGACCGCACAGGATTACATGCTAACGGAGAACAGTGCGCGACACATACTAAGGCTATCCGTTTCTAATGTGCAATATGACTTTTGAAGAACCGTGTGGAGACAACGCAACGGAAAGGTATGTTTTCTTATTAAACTTACTGGTGTTGCGCTTTTGTTTGAGCCGAGCATCACGCGTATGTTATCTGTCTGTGCCGTTGAAAGATCACGAGGTTCACAAATCATTTCTCGAAATGTTACTACAGGTTTCCTCTTGGTGACGTGTGCTTATGAATGACTTTTACTCGAACGTTGCACATGGTCTCCTGTTAACTTGCTTAAAATGCTTTGCTGCATCGCGTGCAGAAGTTTGATCAGGTGACAGTAACGTTACTAGTCGTGACATTGATCAGATGTCCTCTTTAGCTGCAAATCGCCTTCATGCAGAACGTTTCCCTACATTTTGTGCTTTAAGAGAATTGAATTTGGTGTGTAAATGAAATCTAATGTGGTTTTTAATCATTTTGTAGAATGGACTCGGTTGAAAAGGCACTGGAGGAGGTCCTGACTGCTGCGTTACCTCAGGGTTGTATCACTGTGGGAGTTTATGAGGCAGCGAAGTCACTTAACGTGTAAGTGGTCATTGCAGAGCCCTACTAAACCATAGATGGGGTCATTCTACATTTTAAAAATGCGATAAATGCAGGGATATAGTCAACAGGTTAACATTTTTGCCATGTTGCCATCATTACTCTTAAGGTCATGGCACTACAAGGAGACAAACACAACTACTACTAACAAAACACAAGATAAAGATTTGCAGAAGGGCTGATTCACAAACTGGACACACAGAAAAAACTGCTTCATATTTTATATTAGCTTTTCATGTTTTTGCACATTTTTAAATGTACTTTCATTGTCATTTTCACAGGGACCCAGACAACGTGGTTTTATGTCTGCTGGCCACAGACGAGGAGGATGTGAAAGACGTCGCGCTCCAGATTCATTTTACCTTGATTCAAGCATTCTGCTGCGAGAATGACATCAATATCTTCCGAGTGAACAACATGAGACGTCTGGCAGAGATCCTGGAAGGCGTGAAACCGGGAGGAGAGTCGATGGACCTCCACTGCGTATTAGTCACCGTATGTGTCATTTCACTCTCCTATTGCACGCTAGGTAGCCTCGAGCGCACAGATCGATCAGAATTGTTCATGCATGTTCGTATTAACTGCCAGGAAGGTTTAGTTAAACGCTTTTGAGGGCGGCACGACTGAAGTAGTTTAAAGTTCAATGATCCATTAGAGCGTCTGCGATGTGGAATCCCAGCCGGTCTGGGGCTGCAGTAAACTGGCAGCTCTTCAGTGAGATATCTAATAAGCGGTGCTGAACTTCTGTGGCTCCCTTTAGTATTCGCAGAACTTCCTGTGCAACACTGGGGCATTTCTGCAAACACGGTTTCCTGGAAGAAAAGCTCTGTGAAGTGGCCATCTTTAACAAATTAGAGAGAGGTCCTTTGAAAACAAGTGCTTGTCCGTTAACCAGCAGCTGTTAAAACCACTCCCCGCCAGACTCTTGCTGTGGACCTTCTGAATTGTGCAATTGACAGTTTTTCTCTTTTCTCTCACAGAATCCACAGTCATCCACGTGGAAGGATCCAGCCCTTGGCAAACTGAATCGATTCTGCAGAGACAGTCGGGGATTGGACCAGTGGGTGCCGGTTATCAATTTGCCCGAACGATGAACAGAAGCGGACAAACAATGTCAGAGCTTTTACGGGCTCCTGCACTAGATTTGTGTTCTGCTTTGGATGAAGCCTAATGCCACTGAGAATGAGACATGAGGGGGATTAACAAAATGCAATGGATGATATGTTTTCCAGCAAACCCAATGATCAGAAGTGTGGGTTTTGTTTGTCCGGTTGGACGGGCGATTCATGGTTTCACCTCAGAGCAGGAAGAATGACTCTGCACTGTGTTCGCAGTGCTGCCAGGGAGCGACACAGGAAACTGAATCACACATGCTGGATTAGAGTACTAGGAGTGAGCTGAGAGACTGGAGTGTGTTCAACTGGAATCTACTCAATGAAATGTGATCAGACTGTCGGCGGTCAGATGGACTGTTAAATGATGGGCATGACCCTTTTGCAGACGTACTGCAATTTAAAGACCGTAACTTATGATGTTAATGCTGTCCTGTATTATAATTTAAAAGGGAATTTACTACAGTCTTTACTGATTTAGATAGAAATTAGTTACTTGTTTTAATTCAAGCATTCTGGAATATGTTCCGTATTTTAAACTGTTCATTTGAAACTTTTTAATTTATTAATTGTATTTATATTGCTGTGTTCATTGTCAGAAATGTAAAAATAAAATGTTTGACCCATGTTCATCTGTCTTTGGCAGTGTTTCAGTTGTCTGTGAAATGCATATGTTAAAGTGTCTCAAAACACTATATGAAAACACTGTGCACGATATATCGGTTATCGACCGATATTAGTTTTTTTTTTTTTTTTTTTTTAATCCCATGCAGTGTTTTGGGATATTTAATTGTAATCTCCTGTTGCCCTTATTTTTTACTTTTAGATTTGGCTTTGCAATCATCTAACGTTAACTGCACTGTTAGAATTTAATCTTAAAATCACTAATCTTAACAAATCTTAAAATAAAAATAAATTTTTTTTGTATGTTGTGATGCCTAAATACACTTACAGCATTTGAAAATACTTTAATTTTAAATGTGTACAATTTCAATAAATTAAGGCCTTTTTTTCTGCTATCAATTGTAAAATTATAATAATATTGAGTTGTAGGAATTAGAATTTTTATATCAGTGTCGTGGTCAATGAGTGTATACAAAAACCACAAAGGACACTTATTTTCATAAAAAACCCTGACATTTTGCAACCATTTACTTTGATAATATAAATGCACCGTATGCAAAATGTTTCACAAGGCAGGCACATTCTGAGGGCAGTAGAGTAGAGGGCCGTTTTAAAGCTTTGTTTTGTCAACAGCTTTCTTCACTTGTATTGCTAAAAAAAGCTATTTCCACAAGTAGGTGGGAAAGAGAATTCCATTACGTTCACTACAGCAGCTGGGAGACGCATGACATCGGGTCATCGTGGCCTTGTGTCTACACAAAACAGAAGATAATCTGGGCCCTGACCAAGCCAGAAATAGAAACAGCGCTGAGAGTGTGAATCATACCTGACAGCATCAGCAGGGGTGGGGGACATGCTAAACGATGGCTGAGTTAAAATGTGAACCAAAAAAAAAAAGCGAAACGATAGAGTGAGTCAAGGCCATTCAAGACTGCAGCAGGAGAGCTGACAACTAAAAATAGCCCTCTGTTCCCTTTGCTCAGTTTACTGAGACAGGACAAAGAGAGAGAGGACTGGAAAGACCCTAATACACTTTGAATACCACTGTAAACTGTTGTTTCATTTCCAGTGAAAGCTTTGCTGCATTGCTCAAGCAGTTGCTGCTGGAAAGCAGAATTCAGGCTTTTAGTAGAAGCTGGGTCATGTATTTCAAACAGGAGTCCACTTATCCTCAACAGGTTACCAAGGAGAGTTTGAGATGTTCCCCTTAAACTATGGATGCACAATATATGCCTATAAATGTTTACATTTTTGGGGTGTTCATTTGTGCATGCTTTGTCATGATTTAACTCATTGTTAATCTTTAAAAACATAAAATACTTTAATTACACTGTTAAATGTAATCTTTATCAAATCTCATAATATACATTTTTCTATACGTATTGTACTGCCCAAATCTGCTCATTTTAAAAACTAAAACAATTACATATATATATGTGTGCGTGTGTGCAATCAGTTAAACAAAACCCTGCAGAATTTTAATATCTACCATTTGTCAAAAAAAGAGAATCTGACATTATTACTGATGACCATTCTGCTTCCTAAAGGTCAAATTTGGTCATTTATTGGAAAACAAAATCGGCGAATAGCATAATAATCCTATTGACAACCAAACCTACATTTTTATGTTATATAAAGTTTTATTCTCACACAGTGAAGTTGTATATAAAACAAAGATTTATTGGAATTTTACAAGAAAATACAATTTCAGTTTTTCTACTTCAAAATGTTACATTTAATGCAACGTGTTACTTACATAATCTAATTATTTGTGAAATTTACTTGCAATTTCAAAGTGAAAATGTCTACATTGGAGCAATTTTATTTTTATTTTTTTTCGGTGTCTAAATGAGTCTTTCTATCATTGGGTTCCCAGCAAGGTGATCATCATTTTTGGGAGTCCTGCCTTTGTTTTAAAATGTTGTGCATGGAGAAAGGAGGAGGAAAATACAATAGCTTTAGTTGAGAAATAAATTTTGAAGCTACACTGGGACCTTTACTAACTCCACACACTAGCTGTGGTTCAAAAGTCAGAGAGCCAGACTAGGCCATTTTGGGAGGGGTATTTCTGTACTAAGCTGACTAGAAGTAAACAGAGCTGACATTATGTCCCTGCTGCAATGACCTGTGGAGTTTTTTACTGCCCAGTCTGCCATTAACCTCATCCTGCTAAATACAGGTTTGCAGGTAAGTGGAGTCCCACAGTGGTACTTTCTCTACGAATGTGCCTAGATCTGGGAAACTCCAGCTTCACTGGGACCATGGAAGTTAGACGTCGGCTGGTCCCACGCATGAGGAATGCAAATGTTTCTGAAAGGACCAACTGCAGTGCCACAGATCAAACCTGGAGAGCATGAAGGACAATTTAAAGGGATAGTTCACCCAAAAACGAAAATTCTGTCATTAATTACTCTCATGTCGTTCAAAACCGTAAGACCTTCATTCATATTCAGAACACAAATTAAGATATATTTGATGAAAACTGAGAGCTTTCTGACCCTGCATAGACAGCAACGGAACTGACACGTTCAAGGCCCATAAAGGTAGTATAAGGACATTGCTAAAATAGTCCATGTTACATCAGTGGTTCAAATGTAACGTTATGAAGCTACGAGAATACTTTTTGTGCGTTAAGAAAAAAAAAAGACTATTTAACAATTTCTTCTCTTCTGCATCAGTCTTCGCTACACGTTCAGGAGAGTACAACGACACATGCGTGTGCATGGACACCTGTGGTCTCGCAAAGCTCTGGTATATAGCTGAATAATAACATAAATAACAGATGATATACTGAATGGCTTCTTGTTTCCCTCATACAGGATTACGGGGTTTATCCTGGAGCTTTTCTACCGAGCTGACAGGTAACTTTATCACTAAAAATGACACAACCACAAAGCCAGTTCATCAATCATAGACAAGATGCTCGGCTGATTACATCGATGTAGGGCAGTAAATACAGCCTGACCTGTTTCTGAGTGTAGCAGGTATGAGATGAGCTCTACTGGGATCATTGCATAACAACAGGGCTTTGACCTGGAGACCCAAATTAAACAATATCAGAGAAATTAGAGCAAGTGGGAATAGTGAGACCATGAACACCTGGCTGCTGCAGAGAAAGCACGAGGCAGCCATTAAATACACATGATCCTCTCCTGATAATGACACAAAAATAAACTTGATATGCCAAAATACACACTATATACTGTATATAAGACTAATTTGCTAACTAGCTTTTTTGCAGTTATTATATTGCATCAAGGCCAATTAAAATAACTGTTTTATATTTTTATATATTTTAAAACATAATTTATTCCTGTAAGTGTAAAGCTGAATTTTCAGCATCCACAAGATTCTTTAGAAATCATTCTAATATGCTTATTTGGCACTTAAGAAGCATTCTGTTTATTGTCAACAAAGCTGAAAACAGTTGTTCTGCTTAATATCTTTATGGAAAGTGTGATGCAATATTTTTCCCAGGATTTTCTGATTAACTAAACGTTCAAAAGAACAGCATTTATTTTAAATAAATTTTTTGGTAACACTTTCCATATGGTTTTATATAGTTTACTACTTTAGCATGAACTAACAATGAACAATACTTCTACGGCATTTATTAATATTAGTTCCCTAGAGTAAATAAATAAATGTAAATGTTAGACTGGACTCACCAGAGAACATATACAAACAAGACAACAAGATTGAGAATAAATCTATATTTAGTTGGAAAAAGACAACATCTACAACCCAGTACATTGGGACCCAGCTCTGGAATTTCAGCACAAAGGAAGGTGGAAAATTCACTCAAATACAGTGACACTGAATGTTCTTCATATTAGAAATATTTTTTAAAGGCAAAAAGAGATAAGGCAGCAGACTGAAGAGCTTGTGCATGTCATATTGCAATACTAAAGCACCTTCAGAAATGGCCACAGCATCAAGAATAACACAACAGCCCAATTAACAACAGGCACTGACACTGAGAGAACCCAATACTATTGTTGGGAAACATTATGAAAATGTCACTTTAAAAGCATCACACAACAAGAAAGCAAGGCTGAAATTGCCATTCAACGCATACTGTTGTTCAAACAAGATTAAGATTGTGGTTTAGCAAAATCTTGATGCATGTACAAGTTCAGTTGCATGATGCACAGGCATAGATATATCCAGCCTGAGGCATGAGACAGATGTGTAATGATGAAGATACACAGTGAAGATGTCCGTAGGATCTCAGCGCCCCTGGTTCACAGTAGTTTAACTCTGGCTGTCGTCTCGAGAACGAGTCAGAGCAGGAATACTTCATTTAGGCTGGTTCAGCTGGTCTGGTGAAGTTGTTTTCTGCCAGCTGTGTCATGGAGGCATTACACACTCACTTTCACTAAATGCATGGCAATTCACAAGAGTATTACAAAAAAGGTACAGGAGCTGTAAACATGGAATGATGTCAAAATGCATAACAGTATAACAGTCACAAAAATAACTATAATCAGAGAAATCATCATGTGCTCAGTGTATGTGTACAGAAAAATCATATGCGACCCTATGTGAGTTTCTATTGCTGGTTAGATCCCAGAATGAGACGGCACAATGACATTTTGTCATTAAAAAGAGACAATGATTATGAATCGAAACAATCAGAAGAAATGTGTACATTAACATAAGGCATCTCGTAAATAATCATTAAAGGGTTATAATATATTACGTACCATGATCTGCAATAAAGTATTGCTACTGTATCTAACATACACAGGGCAATAACACAAGACAAAGTATTCAAATGCAAATTCAGAGGTTTTGAGTAGGGGAAATCTCATCCCACTTACTGAAAGTAGGAATTTAAAGAGTGGAGAAATGGGTAAAGCAAACACATTTTGGTAACACTTTGCAATAAGACAAAATGTAAAGGTTAAAAGTATCATGAACTAATTATTAAATATATTTTTTATTATAAGTACAACCTATAATGGCTAGTTAGGTTAATGTTCATTTCTACATA